AATATTTTAGGGCAGAGGGGCAGACGGTTTGGGCGGTGTTTGCAGAACTTTTATTGCCGTAGGTACCCTTTTTCAGTTTGAATCAGTAGAGAATTATGTTGGAAGCCCTATTTGGCACCCGTTGATGAATCGCGTGCCGACATTAGGCAACGGCAGGCAAGTCGTAGATGTAATCACTGTACGAGTGATGTGAGCAATGTGATGGAGAACACACACTCCTAATTCCGTGAAATCTTGTGAGCTTAAGATTCTGGAAAACCGACCATTGAAGGATTCGCTAAATTGAGTATTTTCGCAGGGGCTTCTCAAAATTATTTTGGATGTCCGGGTTGAATTCCACGTGAAGACGGCAAGCGTTCCCACCAAGGGTGACGTGTGGAGGGTCGTTACCTTGTTTTCAGTTGAGCCATCATCATGTACCTCAGATCCACTCAAAAAGACAGCCAATCATTCCAGGACCCCCCCATGACTGGCAAACAACCCCAAAACAGCCACCGGACGGCCCTTGGGAGGTCATTCCACGGACCATTTGCCAGCCATTCAAAAAATCATGGTTCTTCATCTTTCCGAAGCCACTAGATAAAACGGGCAAGATTTCAAAAAGCCATAAAAAGCCCCAAGGTTTAAAAAAAGCTCTCCAAGGTTAAACAAAAGCCTTACCCATGTCCATTTCTCCGGACTCCCAATGAACCATTCGGGCCGCTCTCCTGGCCGATTTTTCCGAATTTCCGGAGGTCTGTGGGCACAAGATCTCCATGCACCGCTCGGACATGGCGCAGCGCACTATGACGGCCTTCCTGGAGGCCGATTCCCTCCGATTCCAGTCGGCGGACGAATCCATCTCCGCAGTTCCGAATTCAGTGTCCTAGTTGGGTTTGTTTTTTTCAGTGCTTTGGGGTAAAAGCCAGGGCTTTTTTGGGATTGGTTTTTTTAGGTTTGTGGGGTTGGGGCTATTTTTTGTTGTTTTTTCCCTTGTCGCCTTGGAGATTCCGCAGAGTCGATCTGCTCTGGACATATTTTGTTGGCGAAGAAGGAGGTCCTGGTCCCTTGGCAAGAGGAAAGCCATAGGAATCCTCGAAGTGCAAGTTCAGCTGTGTTTTGCTGATGCCAAGTTCTATTCCCAGGTTGAGTTGCATACCATGGATGTAGGCAATCCCTCATCAACTTGCTGCAATTCGGGGAGGAACTCCACTTGAGAAATGAGAAGCTGGCAATTAGGGGGAAGGCAAGGTGACTCAAACTGAAACTGCGCAATGGGATGCACGTTTCATGTTGAGCATGAGATGGAGTTGTTTTGAGACCTCCCTGACCTTTGGACAGTGAAGGTTTATAGGTTTCAGCACGATTCAAGTACGTCCACCAGTGGGTTGCGGGCTCACGAACCTCAGAATCACAGTTTCTGGGGTTCTTGCACGAACGCTTCAGATGTTGGGGGCATAATACCCGCTCCAAAATGGCTGGGGACAAAAATGTACCATGTTTATGTCCTCCAAGACTGACGGTGTTTCTTAAGATGGACCCACTTGGTTTGTGTTTGAATGGACCCCCAAAGGCAACAAACCATGGGGAGTGAGTCTTTTCCATGCCAGGAGAAGTTGGGCCCTCCGCACTGGGAAGATCAGGAGGGATTGGTGCAGGCCTGCCGGAAATGGGCATGGCAGGCCGTTTTCTCTTGGTGGGGGACCTGGGTGCGGCATGAGTGTGGTTCCCATGGCAAGTCTGATTCAACAGAAGTGGCCGCTTTGGGCTCCATGGCCATGCCAAGAGTGGATTCAGTTGCCTTTGGGGGATCGTCGACTGTGCTTTGGTAAATTGAGCTCACACTGACGTAGGGTCCCAAACCTGGGGATCCCTTTTCTCAGCTTTGGGAGTTGCTGTGGATCTCAAGCATAATCAATCCTTGCCGATCGCTGTGGTACAAACGTGGCTGCAGGTTGCCTGCCAAAAAGGTGCGCGGGTCGGCAGACTCAGTACATATGTTTGGGGGAACCCCTCGCTGGATGGGTCGAAAGGGAAACCCAACTAGGGGTCCCGTATTTTGATACAAACCCATTTGCAAGTGGTAATGCACGCTGAGATGTTGAGCATGGGCAAAATCACTGGACAGGGGAGGCAGCCGAAGATTCAAACGCGAGGGCCAATTCCATGCCGGAAGGACACAGCTTCCTTCCCAGTTCTGTTTTTTTTGGTTTTGATTGTTTTTAGGGAACACGTCCAGACTTGCCTTGGGCCAATCATGTGGGAACGTGAAACTACTCGCCCGTGCAGAAATTTAGAGCCGGTGGTCGAATGGGTCAGACCGGCTCAGACACTGGCTTGCTAGTTCTTCAATACGCAGGCAACGAGAAATGGAACGACGCCAAGCAAAAAGCCATCCAACCTACAGTTTCTTTTAAGGGAATCCCCAAAACCGGTTCATTCCCAACACCCAGACTCCTTGTCATTCCCTACCTATCGCACCAGCAAGTTAGGTGGGGAAACAAGCTGAAAGCGAACAGGTCGCCCCCTTACATCTTCCCCGCACGCGTTCAATGTTGATTTGCCTTTGGCTGTCTCCTTGGCTGCCCTAGGCTCAGACACCAGAGAGGAAGCTGAGATCTTTACAGTTCCCCCACGCCAGGTTTTAGACCCAGACGTGCTGGAGCGAATGCAGGCACACTCGCCGCGTGCCCGCGAGCCAATGGTGGTCATTTGGCAGTGGGTCAAAAATAGGTACCCCAAAATGAATCCATGGTAATTTTGACCCACAGCCATTTGGGTGTTGTCTGTTTTTGGAGGGTACCATTCCTCTCACCAACAGAGGGCACTTGAGAGGAGATCCCTCCAAAGGGAAATTGATCTTCCAGGTGCGCTGCCACGGTTGCTATGTTGGTGGGAGAGAGGGTAGCCTTTTTGGTCGCGTTTAAAGGGACCATGTTTTGAGGAGTCCCCCAAGAAGGAGAAACCCTTTTAGACTGTTTTTTGTGCGTTAGCAAAGTCAGAAACCAAGAACCGGGATTGTTTCACCAGACACGAGGTGCTGCGCTTCTGCAGGAATTCGGCCCCGCTGGAATTCGAATTCGCCTGCGCGGCGAAGCTTTTCTCAACCATTGGCATGATAACAGGCTAGTCTTGCAGCCCCTCCGCTTTACATAAATCTAAGTAGCTCAACACATGCCAAGAAAAGCACAGCCACCTGTGGATCTTTAAATCGACTAATCCTTTTGCAGATGTTCTTCTGACCTTGTGCTGTCCTTTCCGTCTTGGGCCAGCTTTGCGTTGAGCAAAACCAACGCTTCAAGCTGCGCTGGAGGGAACAATTCGTGCTGTGAGTTCGGACGCTGGAAGCCTTCAATCCCAACATTTAGCGTGCGAGTTACTCCCCAACAGGTGCAAGCCCAAAGTCACCCCAAGCCACGAAACGACAGCGCCGACCCTGAACAGTCTCCCGCTCTTTGCTCAATGCCTTGACTGGTGGGTGGGACGCTTGAAAGGGTGTTTTGAAAGGGGGCATCAGTGCAAACATGTGGAAAGGTCCCTAATCTTCATGTTTTGTGTGAGCTCCAGTTCTGCCAACAGTAGGTTGTTGGCATGTGGTGTTTCACGTCTACAGGTGGTTCACGTCTTTCGGACGGATGCCTTTCAGCTTGGCTCAGGGCCTCCTGGATGCCACCCACAAAACCAGCGACAACTGGCCAGCAGCCCAAACCGGGCCATTCGTTTCCGGGCGCGTGGGAAGCTTTGTTTTCAACTTGTTTCCCTACCTGGCTGTTGCGAGGAAGGGAATGGTGCAGGGTATTGGGAATGAACTTAGGGGTTCCTGAAAGGAAACCGGGGATGGTTTTTCTTGGGTCATTCCATTTCTCATTCCCTGCCTATCGGACCAGCTTCAAAAAAGCACTCCTGCGGCTCGCAGAGAGCGGCTCGACCTGAGGTCTGGCGGGCCATCAATTTAACTGAGCAAACTGGTGCCCAACACTTCGTTGATTTTGTGAGTTCCGGCGGAGGCGTCCTGGTGGATAGCGAGTCTGTGGATTTGGATTACGTGTGGTTGCTAGTGGGGTTTTTCGCGGTGTTGTTTGATGGACACACTTTCCGTTGAGAAGCATGCCCATCATCAGCAACGCAGAACAGTGCTTCAAAGAATGTGCTGTTGCGGAGCTAGGCAACTGCTGTTGCGCATCCCACCCAATTGAGTTTGGCGTGTTCAAGCGATAGTTGGACCAATCAGTTCCTTTGAACAATTTTCGCCCATGTCTTGCCATGGGCAATCATTCCACCAAACCGTCCCGGATGATCCAGCAAGCCTAAACTGTGAAGCTGTTACCCTTGCAAGGCTAGATGAATGAACCCTGGACGAGCGCTTAGGGCCATGCTGTGGCGCTCAGGACCAGAGACAGAGGCTGCAGTATGCATGGCGTCAACGGCTGTGCGGCACCCAGGGCTTGACATTTCGTCACAAAGGCCGAGCGCAACCCCACAAAGGGCACACTCAAAAGACACCGGACCACACCACTTTCCCGGGGTGACAGGTACAGGCGACGCCTATCATACATATACGCACAGCTACGAAAAACGTCAAGTGCTCACATTCGATTTGCATCGGCTATTGACGTCCTCCACCTTTTGTAGATCATTCTTGCCATAGGAAGCTCCTAGAGTTAACAAGCCTTGGTAGCTGCAGCATGGGCCGTCTCATTTTCCCTTGCGCTTGAGACTGGTTTCTTAGTGGTGTTGGCTCAGCGGTCAGTTAGTTTCTTCCAAGATCAGATGCCCATGTTCTCCCTCCCCACAAATCCTAGAGATTTGCCATAGCGATCCGCCTGCATTTGGCCATGACAAGCTAAAAGCTTGTGGCAACCCCCTTTGTGGTCGACTGGATGGACAGAACCCCAGTTGGTAGTTGACCCATTCATCAGGCTTTGTCCATTTGAAGTGCCCCTTTGGTTGCAAGCTCACGCCTCACGTCCCTGCTGGCTCAAGACCAGTTCGCAAAGAGAGATTCGGAGCATTTGGGAGCCATGGCGCAGCGCGCGCCTTTGGCAGAAGTTACAGATCAGCCCCACCACACTCAGGCAGTTTTGGTCAAAAAGCAGCCACTTCCTGGTCGTTAGGTTGTTGAAGCGGTGGCTGAAAACATGCTCAACAAAACGAGTGCACCCAGAAAAGTTGCCTGGTTTAGCTGCCTTTGTTCGACCCCTTTGGGCCAGACATCAGCCGAAGGTCTTGCCAGGACCAGACTGCTTCCCGCAAGCTTGCATGCCGAGCAACATTTGCCTGAACTCAGTGCGGGCCCGCAAGCCAACTGGCGCTATCTTTGATTTTGTTCCAGTAAAGGTTAAAATTACGCGTGGGTTCAGGTTCATGCCCCTCCCCACCACTTCTGTTCAGACCCCCCCGCCTTGAAAAACAAGTACCCCCCCCCCGCAACAACAAGTTCCCGGCGCTCCCCCCGCCTTTTGTTGGTTAATCAGAACCCCCCCCCCCAACCCGAACAAGTCCCCCTCCCCAACAACCACTCATTCCTTTGTCAATCCGCCCCGCAAAACAAGTCCCCACCTACTTCTCTTTCGCCGGGGGGAGCAGCAACTCCCTACCCTTGCTTCTCTGTTTCCCCCACTATGTTTTTCTGCTTCTGCACACGCAGCGGATCCACAGTCACAGCCCATATACATGCGGGTCAGTAGTGCCATTTGTTCCATTCGGATCCAGTTTTTGTTAATCCCCACCCTGTTTTTGAGGCCAATAAAAGAATAGCTTGGAGGTCAAACAGCCGGTTCGGTGTTGGGCCCCCTTCAATGCGACTCAGGTCCTGCTGCCCCTGCTGGCCCTGGCCCTTTGCAGCGGCTTCGCTTTCCTCTGCGGAACAGCGCCCACGTCTGCGCGGCAGCTTCGCAGCGCCCGCGGGGCAGTGACGGAGGTGGAGCTTCCTTCAAGTGGGATTGTTTCCCCAGATAGCCTAGCAGCTATAAGGATTTCTTCCTTCCAAAGACGGAGCAGGCTGTCGTGCAAGCTGCTGCTGCACCTGCTGGTCAGGGTGCTGTTCGGGGAGCGCTCAAGGTGCTGTAGTGGTTGCTGGTAGTGCCTGTTTTGTGATGCAGTCAGGGTGCTGTTTTGGGTGCTGGTCAGGGTGCTGGTCAGGGTGCTGTTCGTGTGCCTGAGTGCTGTGCTCAAGGTGCCGAGTGCAGGGTGCGGTGGGTGCTTGCTTTGCGATGCAGTCCGGGTGCTGTTGCGTTGTTTGGGTGCTGGTCAGGGTTCTGTTTGGTCAAGGCGCTGGAAGTTTCTGGCGATGCTTGTTTGGCGAGGGTGCTGTTGTGGTGGGGGTGCTGTTTGGTGGCTTTGTGCGCGGTGGCTGTTGCTGGCGGTGCTTGGCTGTAGGTGCTTCTGTGAGTGCTGGCCAAGATGCTTGTTTGGGGATGCGGTGCGGGGTGCTGGTCACGGTGCTGTCAGGTGTGCTCAAAGTGCAGTGGCAGCTGCTGGCGGTGTTTGTTTGGCGATTGAGGCTGAGTGCTGCTGCGGGTGCTGGTCAGGGTGTTGGTGAGGTTGCTGGTCAGGGTGCTGAGTTTGTCGTGGGGTTGGTGCTTGCTTGGCGACGTGGTCAGGGTGATGCGCAGGGTGCTATGGCTGGCATCGGCGACGCATGGGGGCTGCTGGTCACGGTGTTATTTGTTCTTTGTCGCTGTTTGGTTGTTTGGGGTGCGGTCAAGGTTCAGGCAGGGTACTGGTCAAAGTGATGTGGGCATTTGCACGGCGCTGCTGGTTCTGGTGACAACCCGGGTGCTGCTGTGGGTTGTCAAGGTGCTTTTTGCCCAAGGTGGCATGTGCTTTTTGGCCATGCAGGTACTGTTTGGTGTGCTCAAGGCGAGGCACTGCGGAGGTGCGGTGGTTGCTGGCGATGCTTGGTTGGCGATACAGCCAGGGTGCTGGTCAGGGTGGTGATGTAATCTCTCATGCTAGTTGGGTTCTATGCTGTATGCAGTTTTTTCTCAGCAGCCGAAAGGTACGGGGTCTGTGCTGAAATATGCTTTGGGGTGGTTTGGAGCAGCTTTCAACTAGGGATAAGGAGGCTGTGGAGCCCCAGCATAAGGCATAAGCCAAGCCTAAGCCCTCAACGAGGCCCAAAGCGGATGAAGGGTGATAGCCCCTTCCTGCCATTCCATGAGAGGCGGAATGCAACATGCCTGATGGAGTGGGTGTATGATGCAGGATCAGGAATGCCCCCCCCCCTTAATAAACAGAACAACCGGAGCCAGGCCTGGAGGATTCCGCTGACACAGATCCATCACTCATACTGCCCGTCCCATACACATCCAGTTTTAGTCACCCAAAACATGGGTCCAGTTTTTGGTCCAAAGCAAAGGTCCTGTTTCTGCAAGTTTTGGGCTCTCCAGAAAATCCATTTTTCTAGCGGCTGATTCCACACATCTATCTTTTCAAAAACCAGCTGTTTGCCAGGGTTTTTGGATGGTTTCCTGAAAATAAGGATCCCTGGAAACAATGGGGAAGTGTCCCCTAGATCTGCGTGTGTGTGTGTGAGTGGAGTGAACCGTTTTGGGGATTCCTGAATCCGTAGGGAACGGAACGGCACCTGTGTGTTTGTGTGTGTTTGTGTGTTTGTGTGTTTGTGTGTTTGTGTGTTTGTGTGTTTGTGTGTTTGTGTGTTTGTGTGTGTGTGTGTGTTTGTGTGTTTGTGTGTTTGTGTGTTTGTGTGTTTGTGTGTTTGTGTGTTTGTGTGTTTGTGTTTTGTGTGTGTTTGTGTGTTTGTGTGTTTGTGTGTTTGTGTGTGTTGTGTGTGTTGTGTTTGTGTTTGTGTTTGTGTGTGTTTGTGTTTGTGTTGTGTGTTTGTGTGTTTGTGTTTGTGTGTTTGTGTGTTTGTGTGTTTGTGTGTGTGTGTTTGTGTGTGTGTGTTTGTGTGTTTGTGTGTTTGTGTGTTTGTGTGTTTGTGTGTGTTGTGTTTTGTGTGTGTTTTGTGTGTTTGTGTGTTTGTGTGTTTGTGTGTTTGTGTGTTTGTGTGTTTGTGTGTTTGTGTGTTTGTGTGTTTGTGTGTTTGTGTGTTTGTGTGTTTGTGTGTTGTGTGTTGTGGTTGTGGTTGTGTTTGTCTTTGTGTGTGTGTTTGTGTTTGTTGTTGTGCTTTGTGTTTTGTGTTTGTGTTTGTGTGTGTTTGTGTTTGTGTTTGTGTTTGTGTTTGTGTTTGTGTTTGTGTGTGTGTGTGTTTGTGTTTGTGTTTGTGTTTGTGTTTTGTGTTTTGTGTTTTGTGTTTGTGTGTGTTTGTGTTTTGTGTTTGTGTTTGTGTTTGTGTTTTGTGTTTGTGTTTGTGTTCTGTGTTTGTGTTTTGTGTTTTGTGTTTGTGTTTGTGTTTTGTGTTTTGTGTTTGTGTTTGTGTTTTGTGTTTTGTGTTTGTATTTGTGTTTGTGTTTGTTTGTGTGTTTGTGTTTGTGTTTGTGTTTGTGTTTTGTGTTTTGTGTTTGTGTTTGTTTGTGTGTTTGTGTGTGTGTTTGTATTTGTGTTTGTGTTTGTGTTTGTGTTTGCGTTTGTGTTTTGTGTTTTGTGTTTGTTTGTTTGTGTGTGTGTTTGTGTTTGTGTTTGTGTTTGTGTTTTGTGTTTGTGTTTGTTTCTGTGTTTGTGTTTGTGTTTCTGTTTGTGTTTGTATTTTGTGTTGTGTTTGTGTTTGTGTTTTGTGTTTTGTGTTTGTGTCTTTGCGTCTTTGTGTCTTTGTGTGTTTGTGTGTTTGTGTGTTTGTGTGTATGTGTGTTTGTGTGTTTGTGTGTTTGTGTGTTTGTGTGTTTGTGTGTTTGTGTGTTTGTGTGTTTGTGTTTGTGGTTGTGGTTGTGGTTGTGTTTGTCTTTGTGTGTGTGTTTGTGTTTGTGTTTGTGTTTTTTTTTTTGTGTTTTGTGTTTTGTGTTTGTGTTTGTGTGTGTTTGTGTTTGTATTTGTGTTTGTGTTTGTGTTTGTGTTTTGTGTTTTGTGTTTGTGTTTGTTTGTGTGTTTGTGTTTGTGTTTGTGTTTGTGTTTTGTGTTTTGTATTTGTGTTTGTGTTTGTATTTGTGTTTGTGTTTTGTGTTTTGTATTTGTGTTTGTGTTTTGTGTTTTGTGTTTGTGTTTGTGTTTTGTGTTTTGTGTTTGTGTTTTGTGTTTTGTGTTTGTATTTGTGTTTGTGTTTTGTGTTTTGTGTTTGTGTTTGTGTTTTGTGTTTGTGTTTTGTGTTTGTGTTTGTGTTTTGTGTTTTGTGTTTGTGTTTGTGTTTGTGTTTGTGTTTGTGTTTTGTGTTTTGTGTTTGTGTTTGTGTTTGTGGTTTGTGTTTGTGTGTGTGCGTGTTTGTGTTTGTGTGTGTTTTTGTATCACTACCTGAAGGTAGCCCTAGATGTTAGCCTTGGGATCCTTCGTGCGTCGAAGGAACAACTCGGCAGGTGGAGCTGTCCAGCTCGCTGAGCACGGCTCTGGAGGTCTCGACGCCGGGCTGGTGGGCCAACATCGTGACCTTGGCGCCTCGGATTGGTATGCGGACACGGCTCCGTGTTCGGGGTTTGTCTTTCTTTGGAGGGTATCGTTTTTTTTTTTGGGGGGGGGGGGCTTCTTTTTTTGTGTGGTGGTTTAAATGGAAACAATGGACACCCACGGATTTGGGCCCCCGCAAACTTCAGACACACCCAATAGGGTAAAGAGCGTCGACCGAAGCAAAATGAGGGAATGCCAGCTACTTGTTCCGACACACATGTCTCGGAACCCCCATTGTCCACTTAATTCCACTTGCGTGATTGGAAAGAGGACGCCCCCTGGGATTTCACACTTGGGGAATTACCCATGGTCCGACAAGGCCTTGGAAGAAGACCGGATGGGTGTATCTAGTCTTAGGGTGTAGTAGGAACATGCTTCTGAAACGGAGATGAGTCATGCAAGACTTGGCTGGTGCTTGGTTGCTGGGTTGGTAGGTTGCTTTGTCGCTTGGTTTGCTTGAATATCCTTGTTGTGGGACAATGGGTGAGGAACTCTTGTGGGGAGATCGTTTGTTGTTGAGTTAGATTTTGCGAAACAACGCGCCGGCTAACTGCAAACAATATAACGTTGCCAGTATTTAGGATAAGTCGGGGTGGAAGTTTCTCATGGTGGTGATTGGCGGGCGGTTGGCAACAGTGCCAGTGCGGAATGTCTTTGTTTGCACCAGATTTGTTGCCGTTTTCATTCAGCAGCCCCAGGTGGCGATATGTTGCGTGCAAGGAGCGAATGCTTGACCAGCGTTAAACAGTTGAATCGCTCATGCCATGACGTCGTTGTGCAGACTGAGAGGTCACAAGATGACGGCGCAGGAGTCCATGAAACACATACCCCTCGCGAGCCCAAAGAGCGAGGCTTTATGAGCCAAAGAAGTTGAGTTCCTTCCCTCAAGTGTGCCAGACCCGTGGCACAAAAAATGAGGACCCATAGTTGTGCTACGTGTTCCATGTCTGTTCGCTTGATGGGGGCCGCAATGTCGTTCACACAAAATTTGGCTCTACCTCGCTCCATCCTCCCCGGTGCGAAATTATGTTTTCAGTAGCTTTGGCAGCTGACAAGTTCCTGGAACAGCAGGCCTTTGGCCGAGTTTCCATTTGTTGCCAAGATCAAAATCAAGGACCCCGCGGGTTCTTGGAAGACCAAGGATAGTTGACACTTGACATAAATCACAAGTTCAATAGTCTCAGCATGTGGGCTGAGGTGTTTTGGCTTTCCTATCTTGCATGGAAGCACCGCTGGAGTGGCCCTGAGTGACATAGACATAAATCACTCAGATCTTCAGCTTGAGGTGGTGCCTCTCGCCATTCTCATCACCCTCTACCTCCAGTCCGAGCGACGCAAGGCGCAGGCAAAGTGAGGTCTCGGGGCCCGTTTTGCGAACGGATTCTGCGACTGGCGGATGGGTCCATGGCTTGTGCAGAAATGGTATTTTTAAGTCTTGAAACACTTTGCAGCTTGTTTTCCAAACAGCTGTTGATGTTTTCATCGGCCTCTCCTGCACCCGGCCGGCAGTTGCTCAGTTTGGCCCATTTTGCCTACGGGTTTTTTTCACCGCCCTCCGGGCACTTCCGACGGTCTGGGCACCGGCCCGGAAAAAGTGGCATCTGACTCCGGGGCGCTCTTGGAATCTCCGGCCATTCGGATCCTGCACTTTCTATTTGTAACTGCACCTTGAAATATCCGAGGCTTTCCAGCTCCGGCCATGGATTCGGATGGACGAAATCCATTTCGCATCACCTAAGAAGCCCTGGAATGATGACCCCCCTGCAAATAGCAACGGACAATGGTTTCCCATAGTGCAGGATTTCGCCCATCCACAGTATCTCCCGTTGATGTTAGCAGAAATGTGAGGAACCCCGCGCTGGCGCAGCCCGAGGTTCAGCCTCCTGCGCATCCAAGAACCGGGTGCCGGCATGGGGCCCAGAGCGATCGAGCCTGAAAAAACCATGATTCCATTAACTTCATGGCGTATTGCAAGGCTCATATAAACCTTTATCATCTTGATAGAAAAGCAGCGTTTCTTTCGCTCAGCCGGTATGTGGCTTGATGCTTTGACGTTTGTTGATAGGTAGTGGCATTCCGACATGATACTGGCTCAAGAAAAATTGACTGCCGCCCGTGCTGACATTTAGGCAGACCCCACCTTTCAACAGGTTATCAGCCGTATCGCTGGTACCTTGTACAGTCAGCTCTCACCCGCGCCGCAATGGCGTCAAGCGGCGACGGATGCCACCCTGCCATAGCAAGGATGAACGAAGCAGTGGCCAATAAATTGATCAAGGGTGGGCATCCGGAAGGGAAACCGCCATGCAATCCGTCACAGCGCTCCCGAAGCAGTTTTCCTGAGTCCGACCAAGGCGATGCGCTTGTGCCCATCACTTCGGTCGTCCTTCCGGAGGATTCAATGGGAAGCGGAGGGGAACCTCTTGCCGGACATCAACCTGGGCAAGAGATGCACGCGCACATGACTAAGAACGAGACTCACCTTCATCAACATCATGTGAGCGCCCCGAACATATATCAACATAGCCAGACGGTGAATGTGGTCAACACAGGTCCGAGTACGGAGGAAGTGGCTGCCTATGCTTCGGCACGCCACGACGCCATCATCAATCAGCTCCAAGCAGGCCATGTTGAGGAAAAAGGCCGACTCTATCAGGACGCGGTGAACCACATCAACGTATGCCAACAAGAGGCAATGGCGAAGGAAAGAGAGTTCAACGAGGCAAGGCAGCAGTGGGTTGCTCAACGCTTGGAAGCTGAGAAGAAGTATGAACAGCTCAAATTGATTTGGGAAGTCACCCACAACAAGCAGAAGGAGGACGCGGACAGGAGCGCTGCTGAAATGAGGGAGATTATCATGAAGCAGTCGAGGGACATTGAGGCACTACGTCATGAATTGAAATCTCGCAGTGAGCAGAGTAGTTCTTCTAATGTTCCTATTTTCGGTCTGAGGCCAAAGGCCTCTCCTGTACAGACATTTCCTCCTCCCGGCCTGGATCTTAGTTCTAAGGTACGTATCAGGTCAGCTTCTACCGAACTCCGCCGTGATGGGCCAGGTGCCGCCGATGATCTTGACGGGGATGCCGAGGAATACGAACCGACATCTCCGGCACAGGACCCAAACGATGGTGGTGGAAATCCATCAGGCGCAGGTAAAGGCCAGAGCGGAGGCGGTGGGGAACCACCTGCCGGCAATCCCGATGATGATGATGATCATGACGACGACGATGACGACGGGAATGACGATGGGAAGAAGAGCAAGAAGGACAAGAAGAAGAAGAAGGACAAAAAGAAGAAGAGCAAGAAGGACAAAAAGAAGAAGAAGAAGAGCCACAAGAAACGAAAGGGTGGGTCTCCTTCCGACTCTCCGAGCTCTTCATCGTCCAGCTCCTCAACGTCATCATCCTCGTCATCATCTTCGGAGAAAGCTCGAGCGATCCGCAAGAAGCTCAACAAGATCTTGGGTAAGCAGACGACCACTGTGGACGCAGACAATGACAAACCCAAGGTCAAGGAGGCGGAGAGGATCATCATCCCCTCCTTTCCACTTCCTGAGAGTTACAGGAATTGGCGCATCAAGGTACGGGAAGCCGTATGTGCGGCATCCGATCGCCCCGATGACGCTTTCACGTGGATCAGCAGAGTGTGGGAGCCCGCCGTTACAATCGAGGAGCTCAAAGAACCAGGTACTTTCCTCACCTTGGACGCCAAGTTGCTGTCCGCCCTCACCAACATCATTCAGGGTGACCTGGCGAGACAAGTCGACACCTTCAAGGAGGTAGAGGCGCAGAAGAGGAATCCAGTTCGTGGGAGACAAGTGCTTCTCATGGTGCACGAGCACCTGAGCACGAACATCAAGCACGGAGCCACCTATGCCATGGAGGATCTCCTCAACGTGAGGCTCATGAACGATAACCTCACTTCCTTCATGCGTAGCTGGGAGGGTGTTCTTGCAGGGATGAATGCCAAGACACCGGATGACTCCATGCTTGAGGCTCTGTTCTACAACCAGCTGAAGAAAAGTAAGCAAATGCTGCTAGGCAGAACGGGGGTAGGCCAGCCGCACCCGCCGCTGAGAGCCAACGTGTGCCTAAGGGGTTTTGCATTGCATTTGTCAAGTATGGGTCGTGTTGGCGGGACAATTGCACGTACAAGCATGAACAGCCATCGGGCGATGCCAGGGGTAGGACCCCATCAAGGGACGCTAAGCCTAAGAAGGGTAAGGGTAAAGGCCGAACGAATAGCCCAAAGGGGAAGAAAGAGTGCCGTTTCTACCCCAAGGGGAGGTGTGACCGTGGTGAAAACTGTCCGTTTGTTCACATCGACCCGAAGCCGGCCGTTCCAGGGTCAAGGGAGCCATCCGCAGACAAGCAAAAGAAGCAGGGAAAGGATCGGAAGCATCGCAAATCGAGCAGGGATCGTTCCAAGTCGACCTCTCGATCCACTTCCCGTGATTCCAAGGGAGAAAAGAAGAAGGGTCACAAGGGAAAGTCTTCCGGAAAGCCTTCTCCTGCTGCTGTTTGTGTGTTGGGATGCTTGTTGTCTTCCATGATGAACGCCCCTATCGCTGAGGGGAACCTCATGTCGGACTGGAAGCATATGCCTGCCCTCCCGAGCGTGCGTTTCAGCTCGAAGGTTGAAATGAATCGGATACCAGCACATGGTGAGCAGTTTAAGATCGCGGACAAACCGCGCGTGTATTCAAAGGTCTACCCAATCGACCATCAGTTTTTCCATGATGAAATCAGCATAGATGATGCTAGACTCGGAGCAACCATGCTCGCCTTCATTGTGAGACGTGAATTGGAAGGCCATCCGACTAGATGCAAATACGAATGTGACAGCGATATCGGATGCTGGCAATGCGCCCCGAGAGACATGGGCGCAAAGCCCGCGCTGGCGAACAAGAGATTCTCTCCGAACTGTTCATGGATTATCGACACTGGGAGTGGAACTGACCTTTTTACTCGTGCGAATTGCCCCGAATATGCAATTTATAATTCAAATGACCCCGTGATGTTGATGACTGCCAATGGACCAAGTGATTCGTCAAAGCAGGCCAACATGGCCGCAGGTGACCTTGGGAACACGGATCCATACTTGTTGCCACAAACACCCTCTGTTCTCTCTGTAGGTTTGAAGTGCATGAATCAGGGTTATGACTTCATATGGTACGCGAAGGACAAGCCATTCTTTGTCAAGCCTGATGGGACGAGAATATATCTCAAAGTTCGAGATTATGTCCCGTACTACGACGTGTGGGATGGCGACTCAGCCATGGCATGTCCCGCCAAAGGCACGCCGCCAAGCCGACCGGAAGGTCAGGTCGGCAGAAGCAGTGCATCGAGTGAATCGTCATACTCCTCCTCCGAGCAAGCTGAAGATGCAGCGGGAGAGGAGTACACGCCTAGCATTGCCCCTCTAGAGGACCCTGAGGTGCATGCTAGAGTTGTCGCCGAGCTTCTGGCGGATGACCCCATCGAAGTCAAACCAAATGAACATGCTGAGCCGATAGATAAAGATTTGGCAGGGAAGATGTTGTTGGCAATCCCGATAAGAAAAGCCCTAGATCACTTGCAGAAAGTGCCCTAAGGCAGGAAGCAGCATCACGGAAGCACCTGATGACACACCAGCCAAAGAATCCATTCTGCGAAGTGTGCAAATGCGCCAAGATGACCAAGTCTCCCTCTCGCTCGCGGGGGGGATCCAGACAAGTTGATGCTCGAAAGTTTGCTGAGCACATCACAGCCGATTTCATAATCACTGCAGACGAACAGGAACTAGGCATAGACGATGAGTACTCTGCTCTTGTCATAAGTGGCGTTGCCACCGGTTTCAAATATGCATACCCTTTTGCAAAAAGAAACACGGAAGCCACTGTGAAGGCGTTTCAGCATATCACTTCCTCGTCAGACGAGGTTGGCACGTTTTATAGTGACAATGCCCCCGAGCTAATTGCTGCAGCTGAAGAGATGGGCTGGAGACATGTCCTCAGTCAAGAGTACATTCACAAATCGAACGCGGTGGCTGAACGAAGCATCAGAACCGTGCTCGAGGGAACTCGAGTCGCACTTGCGCAGGCCGGATTGAATCATTCATACTGGCCGCACGCCGCAAGGCATTGGTGTTTATCTCAGAATGTTTGTGAACCACCTTCTGGTTCCAGAACACCTTGGAATCTTAGGTTCGAAGAAGAGTTCAAAGGTCAGTTCTTGCCGTTCGGATGTCGCATAGACTACTGGATTGGCCCAAGACAGAAACCAAAGAAGGACTTGAAGTTTGATCCCACGTCCAATCCGGGAGTGTTTGTTGGATATGTTATCCACCCCGGCTTTCTATGGAGAGGTGACTACC